GCAATGGTTGTCTTGCCAATACCACCCTTAGTTACTGATATTTGTTATAATTTAAATACTTTTATATATGTAAGTAGATTTCAACTTATTTTTATTTTTTAAATTTTTTGGGCTAATTTCTTGTCTGTGTCAATTGGTTTGTGTTTTAAGATTTTTAGACAACTACTAGAAAATTCACAATCAGCAAGGGAAAAATTCCCTTGCAAAATAGCAAAATTCTCTTGCAAAAACTGTCTGCGACGGAATTTGCGAGGAAACACGGTCCCTCGCTAAAACACTCGTCGCAAATAGATTTGCAAGAGAAATTTGTCGTATGACAATTCCCTCGCAAATTGCTACGAAAAAGTTCCCTTGCAAAAAAGTAAATTTCCCTCGCAAACAACAGATCTATCTACAGTGTTTTCCCGTCGCAGATTGCTACGGAAATTGCGGGTATAATTTCCCTCGCAAATTTCCGTAGCAGAATTTGCAAGGGTTGTATTAAATTTCCGTTGCAAAATTTGCAAGGGAACATTTTGATTTTCCCTCGCAAAATGCTACGAATTTTGCAAGGGAATTTGAAAATTTTCGCCACAAATTCTGGAATTAAAATAAAAAAATGTATTAAACTTTTGTTAATTTTCCTGTAAACAGCAAGGATTCCAAATGAACATAAATACATGAATTGAGCAACAGAAATCCAAAAAAATACTAGATAAACAATTAAACTAAAATTAAATAGTATATCAACAAAAGTGAACAACAACAACCAACAAATCTACAACTAAAATGTCTTTAAAGTTGTAAACAAAATAAAACATACAAAAAATATATGATATATCTATGAAGTCCTAAAAGAAGTAAAACATACAAACAACAACTAGTATGCCTCTAAAGTCCTAGCAAAGTCGTCGTCATCATCATCAGGGTCATCATCCGGCGCCGGTCCCTTCGACTTGTTGTGGTTGGCTTCCTTGTCCTGCATTAAAAGTCGGAGTTGTTCCTACATTTGTTTCATAATGTCAGCTTGCTGCTTCATAAAGTCCGCTTGCTGAGTTAGCTGCTCTGTCGTAGCATGCAATTGCTCCTGAATCTGGGAGTGAGACACCCTCATCCTTTTAAGCTCATATGCAAATACATTATTATAAAAGAGTAAGTTAAATGTTTAAAATAAAATATTAATAGAATAGAGATTGAAAAATAAAAAAATTAACTATGCATTGAGTTTACCTGCAAAAACACTAACAACCTGGGTAGAGGGCCGCTTACTAGGCTTCAGCCGGCTAGCATATCCTCCCAGCCCGACCAACCTTCCTTTCTTGTTGAATCCACCTGCAGCTGTAACCAACATGTTCCCATTATCAGAATAGGAGGAGCTGGATTGACCGTCTGTCGCCGCCTGTGCGGACCTCTCCTCTTCAAGTTTTTGATAATTTTTCTGCAAGTAAAGAAAAACTAGCACACATATGGACATGTAAAACATGACATAAACCATCATAGAAAAAACAAACGTCAAATAATAAATGATCAAACCGCTATTAGCTCCGCTCTGGGGCCTAACCACCGCCTTTGACTAGCTTCAGGCTGCTGGGAATGAGTTTGCTCGAAGGTAGCCCAATCAACCTTTTCAGGCGGCACTTCTCCAGAAGCCTCCTGGAAATACAAATGAAAATCATTAATTTATTAGTTGCAAGTACGAATTGTTGAATACCGAACTAGAAAACAATTGGGAGGGATAACTAAAGGTACAAATAAAATAACAAGAATGTGATGTTTTATTACAGTGTTCTAGTAGTCAAATTGGTTTACAACAATCAAAAGCCCTTTTGAGGGAAGGGTTCGAATCCTGCTTCCATATACCTTTACATTTTAATAACTAATTTTTTTTATTTTCACTTTTACCATACTTCATGTTTTAATGTAAATTTTTAATTATAATTTCTTTAACATATAATAATAATTAAAATTTCATTTAATTAAAATATTTCAAATTAATTAATTTTATTTCCAATATCTATTAACATACTTTTTGTGTCTAAAATTAGGCTTTATCTCCGTTTACAAACTTTTTTTACAAATTTTTACAAATTACACTAAGGAGAAGGATCCGTTTATTTTAAAATAATGGCAAAAAATAATAATATTATTCATATATTTTTTCATTAATAGTATTGATCATCACATTTTTAAATTTTAATTATTAAAATTTTTTTACGATAAAGTTACGTATTTGTTTCTTTTTTCTTTTAATTACCTTTTTCTTATTTATAATATTAGTTTTATATTTAATAATTTATAATACTCGACTTTGATTGTTCCCTCCCATATTTCATCATATTCAAACATTAAATAATTCAAGTGTTTATATTGCGCCAACCATTATTTGGCGGGAGTAAGAAACATGGTTTAAACATGAGGCTTAACAATGTCGTACCTATTCTATTGCATTTTTTTTTCTTATAAACCACATGTCTTCTTCTTCATGAGAAGCAATTATGTGTGTTGACAAAAGTATCAACATCATGGTGGGGCTAACTAATATTGAGGACAATCAAATGGTTGAGCAAAAAGATATTCCCCTTAGAATCTTACTGCCCAAAATAGAGTAGGAATACTGTCATCCTCTGTTTTAGTTGCACGAATCTTTAGAGCTCCAATCGAAAAAATGACCGTTAGATATAAAGTATAATAAGCGCAACTCTTACTTAAAGTATTTTAGCACGATCCAACGGTGGACTTAAGAAAAAAACATTCTCTCAAGATCGCTGCCTAAAACAGAATCCTACACACAAACCACTTCGGTTTGGAATTTCTCGTGATGCTACAGGCCTCCAACCAGAAATGCCACCGTTGGATATGAATAATGATGAGTCAGGAATATGCCAACAAAATCTCAGCTCGATCAGACGGTAGATGAGGACATATCGAAAAATGATCAAGGACTGTTCATTCTTGTTCTTAAATTAGCTTATTTTCTAAAGGTTTCTTCTCTCTTTTCTCTTATTGTGATTGATTTCGCTTGTATTCTTGTCAGTAAAATGCTACTCACACACATTCAAAGTTATATGTGTGTGTGTGTGTGTGTGTGTGTGTGAGCTCCAATCGACAAACTGACCGTTAGATATGAAGTATAATGAGTGTAACTCTTGCTTAAAGTATTTCAGCACGATCCAACAGTGAATTTAAGAAAAAAAACATTCTCTCAAGATTGTTGCCTGCAGTAGAATCGTACACACATAGTAGTGTTGGTTTCGAATTTCTGGTGATGCTACTAACAGAATCTCAGCTGGACCGAACGGTAGATAAAAGATATATCGTAGAATGATCAAAGATTACTCCTTCTTCAATTCTTCTGTGAAGTTTCTGAAATGGCTCTCTCTATTTTCTCTTATAGTGACTGATTTTCATACTCCCTTGTCTTCAAAACGCTATTCATGCACGTTCAAAAGGCTGCTGAACATCTTGAATTGGGAACCCTAGCTTTCTTTATTGGGCTGGACTTGACTTTTAATTAAGTGGTTAAAGCCCAACTACAAAGACCAATGCCCTTTTTGGTGGCATCGGAAGCATGTGTCACTTTTCATTTAATTTGTACAGTGATGACGACGAGGGTGGTTGGAACAGGAATCTTTCAGACATTTTTCTCTGCTTCTCATTATTGAACAATTTTTACACACACCTTTAATATCAACAGAGTCTTATCTTTCCTATGACTAGCTCACATAGGCACTACTGTCACTACATGCACTCAATGTCTGCCATAAAGGATGCGGCGACATATTTAATGACTTGTTCTCATACGCATGATGCGGCGACCAATTTATGCCCTTGTCCCTTTTAATTTTGATTTATATATTATTTTTTAATTTTGTGAGGGAATATATTCCCTCGCAATTTGCGAGGGAATTTGAGAGAGAATATATTCCCTCGCAATTTGTGAGGGAATTTGTGAGGAAAATTGTGAAATTTTAGTTGCAATTTTCAGATCCTAAATTTTGCGAGGGAACTTCCGTCGCCAATTTTCTCTCTCGCTGTTTCCATCATAGACTTATGATTCTTGCGAGGGATTCAATTTCCCTTGCAAATTGCGACGGAATTGTGACCGAACTGCAAGGGATTCTGCGACGGCAATGTAGTAATGGAAATCTTGCCTATTTTCCCTCGCAATTGTTTTTCACTTGCAAATTCCGTCGCAGTTTGCAAGGAAATTTTTCCCTCGCAAATTTCCCTTGTTATTCGTGACTTTTCCAGTAGTGGAATTTGTTATACATTGGGTTATGAAAATAAAGTCAAATTTGTATTTGTTAAAAAAAAAAATGTAGTTAACAAAATACTGATTGAACTGAATCAATTGGTTTGCTTTGGTAGAAACAAATTGCTTGGTGCTATATATAAAAAATTCGAGCAATATAGTTCGGATAACATTTTCCCTCAAACTAAATATATTATTTGGGGGAAAATACGCTGCTTGTGTGGATATTTTGTAGTTGGTTGTGGGCGTATCATGGCTGAACCAAGCAATTATTCTTTGCATTCACATATCAATATTCTAATTCTATCATCACCTTCACGCCTTTGTCTTAAATCTTGCGGTAAGATAAGTCTCCTTTCTTTCCGATGGTTTGGAAATGTATTCTTATGAAAAAAAAAATTATCAATCTCTTTCCTTATATGTATTAAATAAGTGGAGTTTAATTAACAATTGTGAATATCAAATATCTATGAAATGAGAGATACACAAATTTTTCACATATAAAACTTTTAACATGAGAATTCATTCCGGCTAGCATAGACAGCCTCAGCCAAAGGATTGTAATTAAATCCATTACCAACGAATTAATGAAAACAATAAATAACAAAATACAGAGTCATTTATGAATACAAATAATTTATGAAATTACATTGATACATCCATATTACACTTGAATAATAACGATGTAAACCCCACCCAAAGAAAAAAAACATGTAAATCATCTACATGAACAAACAAAGGGTGGTAATTAGCTATAGCTTTTTAGACTTTAAGGCTTCTTGGTGGTTCTAGCTGCTTCTTGCATGTACTTAGATGCATATCTATGAAACAAAGCAAGTGCATTACTAGTGACTTCTGCAACATTCTTGGCCTTAACCCTAATAGAAGCTGCTCTCTTACTCATCCTATGACCAGGGAACGAATACACACAACTGCTAGCATCTGTTAAAGCAGTACTCACCCATGTTTCAACATTACTTATGTGCCACAAGACATCATCATTGATGGTGTTGCTACCACCTTGGTCGTTGAACCTTCTTAGTTCTTTAATGGCTTGGCTAAGTTGGTCCACACTATCAGTGATTTGATTCACGCAATCTTCTACCGTTAGGTACTCCCTTTTGTTCTTTATTTCCTTGAGTTCCTTTGCCACTTTCAACAAGTACCATCTTGTTTGTAGTGCTCTAGAGAGGCTCACTGATAAGGCAACATGTGCTAAGTGTTGAGGACCATCTATGGTGGAGTTGTTGACAAATTTTTGAAGGCAACGAATGCAAAGATCTGGGTAGAGGGTGCCATTGCAAGAGGACTCCACGTAGGTCATTGTTTGTGAATCATGCTTGGCCAAGGATGGTTCAACATGGGCAAGAATTGAAAAGAAGAGAAAGATGAAAGTGACTAGCAATGTGAGGTTGAGTTGTGCCATATTGGATCACAATTGAAGCTTGGTTAGCTATGAGTTTCAAAGAAGAGAGTTTTCAAAGCTCTCAAATGATGATTTTCAGTTGAAGAAAATGGCATTGGGGTGTGTTGCTTATATAGAGAATTCTTCACGTTATCACATGCATAGCTACTTGTTTTTTTTTCCTATGTTACGTTATTTTATGTCCATTATACGTGCAATGAGTTGCGCTATAGGACTATTATAAAATATTAATAGGAGCTGGTCGGTCAGAAATCTGAGATTAGAATTAACATTGACATTAATTAAGGATACATTATATTATTATCGTATGTGTAGATAATAATAGATTCATATCAAAGATAGTCCACCCTAATACCAAGATGGGGTGAACCCTAGTTGAAGAAGCATGATTTCCTTATTTGAGTGCAGTGGTTATGTAAAGTCATGTGGCTCAAACTTTTCTTGTTACACGTTTAAAGGATTAGACTTTTTGAACTTAGATTGTAAGAACTCTGATCAAGTGGTGAGAGAAGAAAGAAAGAAAGAAAGAAAAGGGTAATATGATGCTTAGGAAGGAAAAATGTATGAAACTTGAATTATTGGTCACAGTTTAATAAGAGATTGTTGATGATTCTGCTGGCTGAATCAAGGTACAACATGGAGTTTTTAAGGCGATTCAAGTGGGTCTATGTCCACTGGGAAAGAAGAAAAAAAAGTAAGATGGAAGACACGTGTGTATATGATCAACGATGGCTGGCAAAATATAATGACAACCCCATAAATGAAGCTTAGAAGGTTCCAAGAGACACAATTTGGATTACTAAAACTATAATTAATAATGCATCATTCTATGGTCAATTATTGGTTGTTGAATTTCGCAAGTGGGACATTGAGACAGAGTGATATTGCGGAAATAATAAATGCTAATCTAATATTATGTATATAAAAAAAAAGTCCAATATGATTTCTGTTTCTCATTTTTGTTATACTACAGATTTATATTTTACATATATTGGATTTTTCTTTACCAATATTTTGCATGTACCAAGATACTTCTACGTACCAAGTTATTAAATATTTTTTAAGTTTTCAATTTAATAAACATTTTTTTTTTTATTGAATACTATCCTCTTTATTCTTGTTTCCTTGGTACCTTAAAAAATCGTTTGCATATCTCATAAAATAAAAACTATAATTTCACTCTTTCATTAACTGTTGCGGTATTCCTTTTAAGTTGTACTACGACAGTTAATCTTTTATTTTTGTTTAAAGGGCCAGGTTCTGTGGTTAAATAACTTAAATTGTTTCCTTGTCTTAACTTCAATTAGGGTATTGTGGCGTCACATGCATTGATGGTTGTATTAACACCGGGAAAATTGTTTATCTTTTTAAATAACATAACTTATATTTTTTCACTCTTATAAAAAGGTGGGATCACACATTTATTTTTTTTGTCAACTCTCTCACCTTTTTTTCTCTCTTAAAATGACACAACTTTATATCCTTTAAAATGATACACACTTTTCCCATTAAGATATAGGAATTGGAAGAGTCAATATTCAAATTGCTCCTTTTATTATAACTTTGAACAGGGGAGGCCAGATAAGGAATGATAAGATAAACAACATCGTGTTTGAATAGAAGATGATGGCCCTCAATAAAATTTGTTTCATTGGGAATCGTATCTTAAATGCTACCTAACCATGCCTTTCTTGAAATTTAGGTAATCCTGGTTAGGTTTCAGGGTTTGAATGCTCGGATACCTAGAGATTCATGTAAATCTAGGTTGTTTTACATGACCTACACATGTTTTCTTTTAATAATCTCACACCTCATATTAAACTAAATCAAATCAATCTAGGAATTAATATGTTGTTAAACAATGCTAGTGAAATTGAAAACTAATCGATCTATTTATATACCATATTGTATCACTTTTGACCCACGTCTAACTTTCATTTGATTTCCATGATTTCGCACATAAATAAAAAGTCACAACTCCTAATTCTATTCCTAGATATCTCTTTTAAGCAGTGTTATTAAATCCGAATCGGACATCAACCTGATCGGGGTACTGGGTCATTGGGTCACTGGTCGGACTGATGAATCACTGGTCGGATCGGTTGACTCGGATATATATAGATATATAAAAATATATATAAATATAAACATATAAATTCAATTATATTCTTCATATCTAAAATGAATTAAACAAGGTTCATTAAATAAGTTCTAAAACATGAAGCATAAATAAATAAAAATGCATGCTATTACTATGTCAATTTAAATTCAACTCATAATCCCCATAAACATACCTCTCAATGACATTGAACTAATATTTTTCAAATTCAACTACATTAAAAATAACATATGTCACATTCTCTTAATTTATTATTCCGCAAATTGCTTCAGTATTGGAAGCTGAAATTTGAGGTCATTGTAGAAGAGTACACTAGCAAATAAAATTACAAAAAGTTTTTAAAATGAGTTCTACACTTCTTTTTACAAGATGAAACAATTTTGATTTTTATTTTATTTTTTAAATGCATGACTCGACCGGGGCCCTGGGTTTGACCGATTTTGTCCGAATTTTGACCAGATGCATGACTGGTCCAATGTTTGACCCGAACCAGTCCGAGGATCGATTTAGTGGGTTCTGGGTCGACCCGACCGGGTCGGACTTTACAACTATGTTGTTAAGGTCATGTTACATGAATATTTAATATTTAAAAATAATAATGCATCACTTGTTGATTCGTTTATTACTATGTTGTTAAACCTGGATCGATGAACGACTCAATTAAGCTAATGAGAGAATGAGTAACTAATTATCACTTGTTGAACCATATATATATATATATATATATATATATATATATATAGGTAGGATCCTTTGACACCGGTGTCAAATTTCAATTTTGACACCTCATCTGAGAGCCGTTAGATAAAAAAAGATCAACGACTCTGATTTGCAAGCATATGACACCATTGATCTTTTTTGATCTAACGATTCTCAAATGAGGTGTCAAAATTAAAATTTGACACCGGTGTCAAAGGATCCTACCTCATATATATATATATATATATATATATATATATATATATATATATATATATATATATATAAAGTGTTATATTTACAAATTTTTTGTTTACAAACTATATACTATATATTTCCGAAAGTACACTCGGTTAGTAATGTACTTCCGGGAATATATAGTATAATTTGTAAAGGTTTGTAAACGGATCATTTCTTTTATATATATATATATATATATATATATATATATATATATATATGGGGCAGGATATTCTTACACTGGTGTAAGAGTTAGAAGTCTTACACTCAATCTTGACCATTGATCCACTTGTATCAAATGGCTCACATTACTAAAAAATTTGAGCTCTTAGATATAAGTGAGATTAATGGACAAGATTAAGAGTGTAACTTACACTGGTGTAAAATGATCCTGACCCTATATATATATATATATATATATATATATATATATATATATATATATATATATATGGGTTTTCGTTTTATCCTTTAACATAACACAACAACTTTCCTACACTCATAACATTTTGTGGGGCTCACACTTTTTAAAACAAAAAAATAAATAAAAAATTAAGGCACGCAAAACGAATCTCTATAACATTACACAATCACTTTTCCTACAACATAACTCTTATAAAACCCTATATATATATATATATATATAGAAAATATTTTTCTAATTTTGTTGAAGATAATTATCTCATTTTATACACTCATCGAATTTTGTGCCAGCTTTTTCCACTTCTTTTTCCTTTTGTTTTAAAGTGTGGACCCTACATATTTATCTCACACACATGAGAGAACTATCTCAAGCAACATGAGATTAATAACTCCCTATATATATATATATATATATATATATATATATATATATATATATATATATATCCGGTTTTGACACCTAGCGCCTGCCGTCCATATTTTGCACCATTTATTCAAAACCCGGTTTAACTCTGAAGTCCAGTCCCAATTTGACACTGGTTTATATCCGGTTCGCAAGCAAATCCGATCCATTAGTGGAACTGGATTGGCCAGTGGTCCCGTTCCCGGTTCAACCGGCCAGTCCTGGTTTAACAACACAGATTTAGCGCACTGAGCTATGAACGATGCGTACACAATAATATTTTTTATCCTCAAAGCAATGAAACTCCTAAATAAAGAGAAAAGTTCTATATAGCTTATAATGCCACCCCCACAAATAAACTAGAATCACGGTGCAGGATGTTTTCACATTACAAGATACTCGAACGTAAATAAGGACACTGGGCTCATTTAATCTTACAACCACTAAAAGGGATCATAAAAATTACAGACAACAGCATTATCTTACAAGATAACAAAAGGACAACTCAAACAAACCACATAAAACCAAATATGCATTTACTGAAAGGTTTGCCTGTACTCAGAAATCATTCAGCAACCTTCATACCAGAGAGATACACTCTACTCTGAATCACACTTCCCCCAATCCAAAATCCAGGCATAACCATCAAACCAACTTTTGGTTTTTCATCATTATCATCCATTATCAGATTCTTGACCACACTTTCCATATAAACATCAGAGAACTCACTCCCTCCTTTAACCTGAAATACCTTGACATTTGGCTCAAAAGAATAAGCCAACCGGTGTAAAAGCCAAATTGTCTTGGCCAGTTTTAGAAAAGCCTGGTAAAAGGGAGTCCTTGGATGCCCTCCACCCATCACATAATTTCGCTGATCTAAATTTCCAAAGAATGATGCTTCCATCTTTGGATGAACTACCACAAGGTATTTGCTCCTGCAAAATATACCAAAAATGGAATCTGGATTTTGCCCTAGCACATCCAAGGGGTCCATCTCCCTTAAAGCAAGAAATTGGTGGAAGAAGCTCTCTTTAGTGACTGTAATATTCTCTGATTTGATAGAAAAGCTTTCCTGCTCAAAGCCACTGAACATTCTCTGGCATATGTATGACTCGAATGCATATTTCTTATGAGCTCTCTTCGCATAAACAACATCAGGTTCGATTGAGTTGGCAGCAGCATCAAGGTCCCACCCAGCAGCTTTCATCATGTTGATTAAAGGTTTAGAAAAATCATGAATGGCTTTGGCAGCTGCTTCCACAGCAGAGGTGAAGAGGTCTGGAGTTAGGTCAACAGGGAAAAATCCATTTTCATCTTCTGTTTCTTTGGTAGACAAACCTCTAAGCTTCAAATTTTTTTCTAGTTTTGCTCGCTTCTGGCTAGCCTCATCAATCTGCTGCTGCAATTGATGGATCTCTGAATCTTTATTCTGGATTTCAGACTGGAATTTCTTCACCATGACCTCATAGGTTTTCAGGAGGCTCTGTTGTTCTTGAATTTCTGCAGCTAAACGTGAGTCTTGGGGAGAAACACACACTGGTTTTGGGTTGTTTTCCCTGTAGAAATGCTTGAGTTCAGACAGATTTTTCAGCTCACTTATAACAAGTTTATCAGCAGTGTGGATTTTATCAGGGTCATAGGGAGTATGAGCAGATTGCAGCTGGATATAAGCTGACTTTAGGGAAGAGATATTTGTAAAAATTTTAGATATTAAGGTTTCCACGGCTTCTGGATTCTGATTCATGGCCTCTTCCATGGGTTGAGGGTGGACCTTCTGACTGTTGCTCTCACGTAATTGCGTCTCTTTTGCTCCAGTGGGTAGCATAGCTAACACCAATAAAGCGACAGTTGTACAAGCTTTCTGTCAACGGAACCAAAATTAACACACAACCTGCAAGCTTCCAAAGAAGTTCAATCAAGTTGTTCAGTGCAAAAATTATTTATTTTTCTACATTACATGAGTGTTCAATTCATATTTGACAACTTAGAAGCAGAAGGTAAAGAAAAGAGATTCCATTACAACATGGCTAAAGAAGAGATTGATAACATGAGTTTGTTTATATACATATGTGTGTGTGACGTATTCAACTTATAATAAGAAGTGTCCACCAGCTAAAAGCAATATGCAATTATATACTCTTATTTCCAGCAATTTAACACTTTTATCATTTCAGATAATGTTTCATGCAATGTAGATTTGAGGAGTGGTTTAGGAACTTTATCAGGTTAAAAACTCATCCAAAAAAGTTCGAGGGCCTTGAGAGATATTTCTGCTAATTTACAGAAGGAAAATTGGGGCACCCTAAAACAAGGAAAGAGAGATAATATCATTATAAGACAAATGTCCAATAACATAAAAAGAGAGATAATCACTAAAGCAAATAATTAGAACATTCTCGATAAAGTGTATGATATAACATATCCTGAACATAGCATGTAAGCAACTACCAGTCTGTCAGTAACTAGCTCAAATTTTATTAATTGGAGTCTTCTTCTACAGCTTCTGATAATATTGGCAAATTATTGTTTTCTCCAAGACACTTTCTTTATTTGATAGAATATTAAAGTCTTTCTTCCCACAGCTTCTTAGACTTAGAACACTCTACAACTACAAGTTTACAAACATTCAATCCTCTCTTTATGTCTAACATGTTTAGAACTGAAGGTCCTAATTGCTCTTCGTCTTACAATTAAAACATCCAGTGTCACAAAAGTTGGCCATGGGAATATAATATCCAGAAAGAAAAAAATTTGATTTCATTTAAATCACCACAAGGATCTTAAATTAGTAATTTGATCCATACGGCAAGTTCACAAGATCATTTGTCTACTGCATGAATAACATATTTCTAACTACTAATTGGTAACTGATAAACTATTTAAGTCATAGTTCTCCTCACACTTACTCAATTCAAATTCACTATGAACTGACCAAAATCCCTGATATATATATTCAAAAGTCTTGGAAATACCACGAAGGATCTCCTCGTGGTCTAGTTTTTGATCCAAACAGTTAGTAGTACTAATATATTTCAACTGGTTGAAGCTGCATCAATTAAAATGAAATTTAATATAATGCAGCAATGGCTTTAAATACAAATAGCAAGGATTATCCAAAAGCAAAAGTCTAGTTTGTAATCCTAAGGCAAGTGAAGTCTATGAGAGAAAGGCTGATTAGTCAGCAAAATTCTAGTGTTGCACAATATCAAATTGTAAATCTTCGAAATAAAAATGTCAAAACTTCATTAAAAAAAGTGAAAACTAATTAGACTTCAATATACAAATGAAGATGGTGGGAATAAGCTTTCTACCTAGAAAGATTGCATTTCAGCAAGAGAATGAATCCAGCAAGCATAATACCCTTGAACCTAAGATATTGGGGGAAAAAAATACAATAATATGAGAGGAGATAGCTACAATTAATGCTGTAGAGTAAATCAACCCTAATTCTCAAGCAAAATTCAACAGAAATCCATAAAGATCTGATGCTTCAAAACATACCCAGAAATTGTGGTTATATCACAATTTCAAACCTAAATGTTTTATAAAAAAAGAATAGTAAATTTTGGAGAACAGAACATGTGGGCACATAAGAAACAACCTTAATCTACCAAAAGTAGATGAAGTGTTGGGGTAAAAACAGATAAGGGCAGAAAGATCTCAGATTTGTCGTACCTTGTGGGAAATTTGAACGGAGAGTGAAGATGAATTGCAGGTTCAGTAAAGTAAAGACGTGATGTTGACAATAAGTAACATTCCCCAACCGAAACCCTATTCCTATTCGAAAGGAAACCAAAAGGGTAACCCAAGTTGTCTTTTTTATTTTTATTTTTGTTTTTCATTTTCATATTTTATTTTTCTGTTCTATATTTTACAAGAATATACTATGTTATCTGTCAAAAAAAATTCTCATTAAAAATAATTGTTTGTTATATTGTTTAATTTGATAATTAATGTGTGTTTGTTTACGTAGAAGGGGTTTGAATTCCGTTTTTGATTTGATTATAAAATCTATCTACATTTTAAAAAAATATTGAGTGGGAGATATATTATCAAAAATTAATAAAATTAATAATAAATTTTTATTACTTTATTTATATTTAAATTATGTATATTAATATTTGAAAATAATATAATTATAGTTAATATTTGAAAATAATATAATTATAGTTAATTTAAAATAATATCCTATATAATAAAATATAAAAATTTTAAAATAATTTTTTTTAGCGTATAATATTCCAAAAGGATAAAATTCTCATATGCTATTTTATGATTTTTTTTTCATTCAAGCGTCAAATTTTTTTACATAATTGGAAAAAAAAAATTATACATAAAGAAAAGCTAAAAAGCAGAAAACAAAAAGAATAGAATCAACCGACATCTCTAATTCGAGGAGTGGCTGAGGAGTCTGCAAGGAAAAACAAAAGTAATTCATGAGGAGATTATGAGAACACAGAATCATCATCCATATCCGAGCGGTCTAGTAGGAGGTTCACTAGGTAATCAGCGCAGCAATTGGCCTCCCTCAATGTAAGAATAAAGTGGACTTGTCAGTTACAATTGATCAATACTCGAATCCGAGTCACCAGAGATGACTCATGAGCTTTCTCATCATTCCTAGTGAGCAACGCGACAACAAAGCTTGAGTCGCTTTTGATTATTAGTTTACTGACACTCTTACTCCAAGCTAGCTGGAGTCTTTTCAGAACAACCCATAGTTCTGCATTACATGCTAAACAAGTACCAATTCTATAAGAAAATACACTTCTCCAGTTGCCACTTGAGTCTCACAGCACCATACCACAAGCAGCGACCCCGGGATTTCCCCTAGAAGCACCATATGTATTTAATTTAATAATTTTTTCCGGCAGAGGAAGCCAAATAATAGTACATTGGATCGGAAGAGAAGTGTTCTGTACAAATGCATTGCGTATTTGCTGCTCATTTTCAATCACATCGAGATGTGAGTGGATAAAAGGAGGGCCTAGTTGGCCATGTGCAACTATATTACGCCACTACCATATCATCCAGCAGCCAGTAACAAAAAGAGTAACCCATGGGATCGTACCTGTACTTTCCCCGTTATGACTCCAGTTCCATTGTAGCCACTTAAGTATATCAGCCTCGAAGAAGGTTTCCCTTTCTGGAGGAGGCAAAATAGTAACCCATATCTTTTTGATGGGACAATCCCTAACAGCATGTATTAAGGTTTCTACTTGTTCATTACATATGGGGTATCGAGGATCCCTATGGGACCAATAAGCACTTTATGCTTTGGTAAGCAATCTGTTATAGGCTAACTTCCATTGAAAAAGTTCATGCGCTGAGGACCTTTGCTACCCTACAATTTTCTCCAGAACATACATGGCAAGTGGGCATAATCCGTCGTGGCCCCTAATAGAGATGTATAGCAGTTTTTTATCGTGACCCCACCCGTATTTTCAAGTCTTCCAACCCGACGATCCGATCCATCCTCCAAAGCAAGTGGCAAGCAACTTCGGATTTGCTGTATAGTATTTTCAAGTAGCCAAGTCCGCAGAAGCCCAACTTGCTAATTGTCATTGTCATCCACATAATCATACACACATTTGTGGGCTTATTCTTTCGGGACAAGATTAATAATTCTCTCAATCAAGGGATGAAGTCCTGGAGCCCACCTATACTTCTAGAAAAAAACTGAAGTATCATCTCCAATCTCCCAAATGACCTTATATTCCATAAACAGCCAAACCCAATAGAGAGCTGAACATAGCTGGGAACAACTAGCCCTCTTAGTGAATATAAAGACGTCAACCCCATTGCCCATGTATTTTCCCTTCAAGAATCTTACCCACAAAGAGTCTGCTTCATTATGGAATCCCACACCAACTTTGAAAGGAAAGCATCGTTTATAATTTTTTGCCGCTTCAGTCCCAGCTCCCCAAACTCCTTTGGCAACGTCAAGGTATCCTATCTAATCATATGATGCCTACGGGTAGTCTCAATCTCACCCCAGATAAATCTCCTATGAATCTTTTCAATTTCATCACAAATGATCACAAGGAGATTAATGTTGCATGTTGAAGTAAGGGATCAAAGATAAAATGGATTGGGAAAACGTAATCTTGCCTACTTGTGATAAAGTTTGTTGTTGCTATCCCCCGAGCTTGGATTTAACTTTATCAATAATGTGCTTACAGTGTTGTTTGGTTGCACACCCGTGTATCATCCAAGCACCCAAATATCTCCCAACACTGCGCACCTATTTGAAGCCGCATCTCTCAATAATGTTTACCAATCTTAATTACCTCTTTGAGGTGAGTTGATCTCCGGGTATTATCACAAGCTTCAACTCTTTGAGCCGATTATGAAACTAATCTTGAATCTGAGCTTAGTCATACTTAAAGCTCACCGCCTCTTCCCAAAGATGTATTTAGTGAGTATCTTCACAAGCTTCAAACTCTTTAAATACAACAAAAATATGTAGGATTCATCCATAAATTATATGGTATTTAGAACACCAATAATCAAATGTACATACTTGTGTTTGCCATGAATGGATGAATAAGGAAACATTAAGGGCATGTTTGGTGTACATTATAGGATAAGACTTGATAATATAAGTTTCAGAACCATTGGATTTATGTGGAACAATTTAAGGACCTAGTACATTGATATGCTTACCGAATTATCATTGTCTTACAAACACACAGGGTATACCTCTTGGATCGCAGATCTATGAGCAACCTCCTTGTATGTAACTACCCTTCACGAACTGATCTCCTCTGCGTTGTAGCACGTACGATCTCCTCATAGAGGTTGGCCTGTGATAGACCTTCCAGACTATGTCTGAGAGGGGAATGGGAGGTGAGTGGGCACTCTCTCACTTTCAGGGATATGACTTTACCTCAGCTTCTACAACCACCAAAAGAATACCAAAGAGGTTGATGACTATAAGGTGGTGTTTGGTTGGGGTCTTTCCAAAATTTTCCTAGGCAAGTGAGAGAAGGATTCCAGAATAGAAGTGTTTGGTTGAGTAGATTCAGGCAAAAAACCAGTCATCCAAAATGCATAGGTTTTTCAATTTAAATGGAAAAGCCAGCTTTTGGTACTGTTTGAAAAGCTTTTTCATATGTGGTTTTTTGAAAAACCAGCACGAATCGATTTTTTGAAAAGCTTTCTGTCTTTAATAAACGAGATTCTGAAGTAGAACTACAAGACAATGAGAGACAGAACTCTCTCAACTTGTGTTTCTCTCTCTTAGAAACATAGGGTTATTTTAGTAATTTAAGATTGTTTTCCCATCTATATCTCACCTCCAACCAAACATACATTTCCTAAAATTTACTTAATTTTCTCAGTAAAGTTTTTCCCCAACAAACAACTTTTTTTAACATTTTCCTATCTATCTCACTTTATCTAACTTTCTTACCATTTCCCTATCAATTCTATTTCCCTACTATTCAAAAAATTTCTCCTCAACCAAACGCCCCCTAAGTGTAGAATATATATGGTTCAAATAAACCCTAGCTCTAAGCTGAATGGGCTCTAGGTTCTTGGGCTCTTCTTACACACTAAGTCCAATTGGGGTTTAGTGAAAGAACAAAACCCAACAATCTGCCAAGAACTTATTCTTCTGTTAGGCAATAATCGAAGGATGCACACAATTTTAGTTCTTACAAGTGAATTGTCTAACGTAAGCCTTGTAAAGAAAACTGGAGGATTATTAACAATAAATAAAAGTAGTTATGAGAATCTACTTGCACTTAGTTTGTTTATTGCATTATTTGTTTGTAATTGTGTGCCTTGTATGTTTTTCAGAAAATGTCTTCTTTTTCAATTATTTAACAATGATTTTGAGTCAAAAATCTCTAGATGGTACCAACTATAAAGAGTGAAAAACAAATCTCGATGTTGTTCTTAAACATGAAAAGCTGAATTTTTTCCTTACCGTGCCAAAGCCAAAGCCTTGGACAAATATTTTATGCAACGGTCTGAAACGCTTCCACAGATCCCATTGAAACATATCTTTGGCCTTTATGATTGTTGTGCCTTCGTATATCGTCTGATCGATACAAAATTTTATAGGCAAGAGCACCTTGATGAGACGAAGCCTCGGCCACCGAAATCGCCTCAATCTGACATGGCACGTGTTGCGACTTCGGCAAGTGCATCGGTCGTACAAGTAATAAAGTGAAGAGTAGAGTATCGTTCCGTGAGGATTGATTTATCAAGCAATAACTTGTTTATATAACCAAAGTTGGATTGATCTTGTAAGGTTTGAAGAATATAATTTTAAATTAATAAAAACAGAATTTAAAAATAATATATTTTTTATTTTCAAGATTAATAACCAAGAACAAGAACGTATACAAGAACGAAATAACAATGAGTCGAAATCTAATATGCAAGAGCGTAGTCGGGATTCGATCTTCCCAATGTTTTCTTAACAAGTTTACCCTTTTATGCAATCAATATTCAAGATTAGATTGTCGGCGATTCTTTCTAAACTAATTAAATCCCCCAATCCATTGGTGATTTAATCCTTTACTTTATCCAAATCTCTAATCTCTTATAGCCTTTTTCTAGAGCAAGCATTAAGATCAAAAATCTCACACGTCGTAGAATTTATAAGCCTATGTCTAGATCATACAAATCCTAGCAATTAATCAATCGGACTCAAGATGCCAATATTCTCATTAACATACAAGACTCTATCTGTTTATCTATGAGTGCGCAAGTCATAAACAAAATAATCATTAGTGAATAGATTAATTGCATAACTCAAATCATAAATATCAATTC